AACAGAATGATCCTACGTAGCAGGGCTGTCTAGGGCTAGCTAAAGGAACTACTTACCATATTAGAAGCAAATTAAATAAGGAATAAATACAGATTGCCTTTTATACCATCTATGGGGAATATTGTTGATCGAAATAATGTAAACTATAACTTGAAACAGTCTAAAATCTGTAACAGATGAGGTGGTACTGTCCCAGAAAAGTCAAAGTATAAATATTGACTCAAGCAAAAAAAGTGTAGTCTCATCTAAAAAATTTTAGCAAATATTAAAAGTAAGCAGTAGGTAATGGTATACATGGTCTATCTGTTATTGACTAATAACTGACACATAAATCTTTTCTGTAAGATTTAAATCTTTAAAATAGACCCGTAAAAATTAACTTGGTTGAAGTGACCACATAAGCATTTAGAAGAGAGTATTGACAAAATAATTATTGTAGTAAGTCTTTATTATGAAATTTACATGAAAAATGGACCAATGATAATTATTTGACTAAAATAATAATGAAATTTAAAAAGGAGAGGATTAGTTAAATGTATAAGGAATTAATTGAGAATTTTCTTTGGTAGAAGTAGGTTTTAAAAAGTCTTTTGAATGAATATGTATCCATATCCATACTTTATGTGATTAAAATGTTTGAATAAAATCAGAACATTATCAAAAATTATTTTTTATTAGGGGAAAGTGAATGGATAAAGGAGGGGAGAGGAGAGGGGAGACCGACCTCTGGGGCAGGAGTAGCAGGAGAGAAGAGAGAAGAGAGAGAGGGAGGGGGACAGACAGACAGATGGAGACAGAATGAGAAGGAGAGCCATTATCAAGAATTAAAACTGAAATGAGACTGTCTGTGATCATAGAGACCATGACCTGACAGTACCAAGCTGGCAGTGGTCCCCAGTCTCAGCCTCACCCTGTGGTAGTAGAAAGAACACCTGATGGACAGAGGGAAGGACAAGAGATCTCTCCCCCAGAGGCCTAGAGAAATACTTAATATATTGATCTTCTGGGTTCCTAACATCTTCTCTTGTCAGAGAGCAGCTTCGACAAGTATATCACATACCAGGGTAGGGCATGAGGACTAGAAAAATAAGAGAACAAAGACACGAGTGAAAATAATAAAATAGAAACCTAAGATAGTGCTGGGAGGGATTTCCAGTGACTGCTGAAATCATCTGTGTTTAATTTTCCATACACTTTTATACCCAGTACAACAGGAGGTGGAAGGCAGAAGACGACTTTAACATGATACAAGGACAACTAGAACAGTTAATTGCTTCAATGCTAGAGACATAAAGTCATTCATTCTTGAGAAAAGCATTCTGTTGTTTAGGCAGTGAACCCACCCTAGACCAAGTATCCTGAAGGCAGCCACTCCCTAGGTCAAACCTCCTAATTCAAAAGAAGAAGCAGAAGTATGCTTGAATTCTGACCTCTGGTCAGAGTGGAGAGGATCTATCTGTATGGGCCATTTTAATGTCCAAAACACTGAGTAACCATACTCTACACATCTACCAGGGTGTGTAGCCACACTTGTTGTTAACAACTTTGAGCAACCTCAAACTCTCTGACCTTCAGACAAAGTAGACTAGGCTCACATTTTTGGGTCTCCGTATTCTCTCAAACAAGAATTTAAGTCCCCTTAAGAAAAAGAATAGCAGCCACATTCAGAGAGTCTGGTCTGATCACATGCTCATTCAGTCCCAGAAGTCTATGTCTCCTATTGTTATTGTTTTAATTAGCGTAGCTTCATTCATACACATACTCTTGTATGTATTGCATATAATTGTGTGAATATACAATAAAATGATTTCTTGAGACAAAAAAAAGAAAAAGAACAACATAGGTAAGATTAAGTTCTAAAGAAGTAAGAGAAGAAGGCTTTGATTTTAGATCTACTTGACTTACCAATCTCCTAATATGCCCAAAATGACCATAACAATGGCTTTCCCGTGTTTGGGAACATGGTTAATATTAATAGCTCCTTCTCTGAAAGTAGGCGTTTGAATTTTATCCCAAACACATCAATTCTCACCCATATTTGAGTCCATTCAGTCCTTTGCTCCAAGAGAGAGGCTTTAAAATATAGGCCACCCTGTCCATTTTCAGATCCGGTTTTACTCTCTTCGTATTGAGTCTCCATTTTGGTTGAGAGTCCTTTTTCCACTGCCGGGGATTGAACTCTGGACTTCAAGCAGCCTGACACTGAGCTACCCTAATCCTGGGCAAGAGTTCAGGCAGTGTGCCTGCTAGCATAAATCTAGTGTATTTCTTGGTTCTTGGAGTGAATATTTGATTACATCTTCAAACTATCATCATAGTTAAGAAACTACGGACAGTTCTGCTCGTGTGGTGGTTAGTTTTTGTTTGTGTTATAACTTTTTTTATTTTTAATTAAAACTTAATTACATCATATCCTCCCTCTCTTCTGTCCTTCCCACACCCTCTCCCTATTCCCTCTTAAATCCATAGTTTCTTTTTCTTGTTAAATATATATGTGAATTAATGAATGAACCCAACCTGCTGATTCTGTGTATTGTTACTTGTATGAGCCTTTTAAGGCTAACCATTTGGTATTAGATAACCAATTAGGCAATCCATCCCTGGGAAAGACTAATTCTCCCTTTCAGCAACCATTAACTGCCTATAGTTCTTCATTTAGGGGTTGTGCCCTGTGAGATTTTCCCCATGGATACTGGAATGTCAACTGCCAGTGTCTTGTCTTTTTTTCATTTTATTTTATGAGCCTGGGTCTCACTATATAGATCAGTCTGGGTCTTGAACTCATGGACATCACCAGCCTCTTTCTCTGAATGCTGGGATTAAAGGCACGTGCCGCCACACCAGCACTCATTGACAATTTTAAATAGATAAAAGGAGTTAAAAGACTAAAATGATAAATGTTCTCCAAGTGATAATTTCTTGATACCATTTCACATTTTAAAAACACATTTTGGATTAATTAATTGCTAAAACAGCAGAAAGAAATCTACAACAATGAAACCCCTAAGTCTTGAACCCGCGGCCACAGCATCTGCTCGATTCTCCACTTTCCAAGTTTGTCTGCCAAACAATTTGGGTGCAAGGGATAAAGGATATTTATATTTTTGATCATCTGAATGAAGCTCAGATGTGATGGTGCTTCCCTTGTGGAACAATGCCACTTGCTCTGTGTGGCACAGGGCACATGGGAAATGCAATTGTTTGTGCCTTAGGGGTGGTGGCGGCACCTTGTCACCTTACCCCATACTACCTGTGTGCTCTGTCACCTAATCCTTGAAAGTTCTCCCATGTGTCTGCTAACATAAATCTGGTGGATCTTGTATGAATAGGTCATTACATCCTCAGATTACCATTGATCTCTGGGGGCATACATAACACAATAGCAAGACAAACCTGGGAATAAATGTACACCAGTACAGCCTGAACATAGAGTTTTAGGAAAGCACTGAGTACTGTTTGAGTTTAACAGACTAGTTCATGGCTGACCCAGCTAACTGCCATTAGAAGTAGCACAAATCCCCATTTGTCTAATGATTTGTCTTTGTATTCCATGTCACATACTAGGTGTATACTGTCTAGATTGAAAAAAACATGGCTACCTACTATTTCATAAACTTCATACTGTGTGTGATATGAATTTGTATATGTGAGTATATTTTATCTATAATATGAATTTTAATGCTCTTCCTAGAAGTCACTGGTTATCAAATAAAAAGCTCAGGTGTGGGATGTCTCCCTTCAAGTTGTTGACCAGAGACCCCTCCACACTCTCAAACATTGCCACTGCTTTTGGTTCCTGCCAGAACTTGATGCTAAGAACCTTTTGCTTAAAAATACCACACACTTTGATCACAGAACATGGATAAATCAAGGTGATACTGACCTGGGTGTGTAAAACGATAAGACAAGCATGTGTTCTAATGAAGGAGAAGGAGGAAATGAAAATTGCAGGCTAAAGAACTGAAAATCTCAGGGACCAAGGGTATGATTCCGAAGTGCTTGCCTGCAAGCATGAGGACCTGGGTTTAGTTCCCAGAACCCACATACCAGGCGTGGTGGCATGTGTTTTAAATCTTGGACAGCAAGAGACAGGGGGATCCCTGAGGCTCACTGACCAGCCAGCACAGATTGATGAGTTCCAAATCAAAAGAAGCCATGTCTCAAAGGAAGTACATGACTTTCTTTAGGATGAAACCCAGCTCCTGCTCTCCCACATGATGTGTGTGTGTGTGTGTGTGTGTGTGTGTGTGTGTGTGTGTGTGTGCGTGTGTGTCTTAAAAGAAAGCAATTACAAATGGCAATAAGATCAGTGAAGGCTAGCAGGATTGGATGTGGGTCTTGAGATGGTGTTCTAGATAGTGTATCTGACTGGGCAGGGTGGTGCACGCCTTTAATCCCAGCACTTGAGAGACAGAGGCAGGTGGATCTCTGTGAGTTCGAGGCCAGCCTGGTCTACAGAGTGAGTTCCAGGACAGGCTCTAAAGCTACACAGAGAAACCCTGTGGTTTCAGAAAACAAAACAAAACAAAACAAGTAAAGTATCTGTCTCTCAGAACAAAAATAGTGGAAAGAAAAGGAACCAACCAAGAGCCAACAGAGGAACCAGCAAATGCAAAGGTAGTCAGGATACCCATTTGTCACAGAAGATCGTGGGGCCTGGGGAGTCAGCGGTGCCTCATAAACCTGGGTTCTGATTGCATCAATTTTTTTTTCCTTGGAGGCAGGAAGCAGTCACAGTCTGAGTTGAGAACAGGATACAATATAGGTCAAGGTCCTGCAGAAATGGAATCCCCAGTCTAGGTGTGTTCATACAGAATGTCCTTACAGTCACTGCAATAATCACACAAATAATATCAATGGTAATGTTATGTCATGTGCATTTGCTCCAAAAAAAAAAAAAAAAGTGCATCAGGGCAGGAAATGGTACTTACATTTTATGTCATTTTGTTGTAAAACGAGTTTACATCTTACCGTGACTACTGTCTTTCTTCTCATCTCAG